AACATACCAAACCCCACACCCTAAGCCCTAAACCCCAAACTTCCCTGAAAGCCCCAAGCCTTAACACCCCAAGCAAGCAGCACCCTGAAGCCCCAAAGCCATAAAAGACACAAGCCTCGAAATCCAGTGAACCCCAAACCTCTAGCCCAGCCCCTGAGATACCCAGCAATCTTCGCCAAACCCCAATCCCTATATAAACCCTTCAAGCCCAATAAAACCGTCAACATTGAACCCGACGCCCTCTGATCCTCTAGACCCTATAAGCCCATAGGCCCCATAGTAGTTCCTTTTCGCGATTGCCTAATAGGATCCTAAATACAAACCACAAAAGTAGTTCCTTTTTGTGGTTTGTATTTAGGATCCTATTAGGTAATCCCAACAGGGAACTACTATGGGGCCTACCGGTATAAGCCCTAAGCCAAATCCAGTAACCGCCCGCGTGGAAATACGTGGAAAGGCCTGGGAGTTTGTGGAGTCGCCCTACAAGGCGCACGTCTTCAGGGTTTGAGGCTTTAGGTTTTAGGTTTAGGGGTCAGGGTTTGGGGTTTAGGCTTGAGGGTTTAGGGCTCTAGGGCGCAAGTCCTCAGGGTTTTAGACTGCAGTGGGCTTAATTTGGCTTCAGGGTTTAGGGCTGTACTAGAAAATGCTCATACCCGTCAGGTTTGGTAGTCTAAGTCGTTAGTCCCCTGTCGGAATAAACGCTTCAAGAACCAGAAACCAAACCCTAAACCCTAAACCCAGAACCCCTGAAGATCGCCCTTAAATTTGTAGCGTCACTGCCCCGCCGTCGCACTCTTGAGAGAGCCCCTAATAAGAAAATCCCTGGTCCGGAAAATCCCTCAAGGCCCTGAACCCCAAAGCCATAGCCGCTAAGGGTCCATGTGCCCAAGTAGTAGATACTTTTTGGCCCCAAAGTACCCAACTAGGGACTACTTTAAGGCCAAAGTATCTACTATTTGGGCACACGGACCCTTAGGGAACCCTAGACAAGAGCTCCGTAAACCCTAAACCCTAAACCCTAAACCCTTGAGAAGTCCAGCAGGGATCCGACTCGCTGGACTTCATCTGCCCTTCCTGGTGGAATGCCACCGGCTGACTCTCGCCTACTTTGGGGTTTAGGGTTTGGGGCTTTGGGTTTAGGGTTTAGGGTTTAGCGCAGGGTCTAGGGCTTCTAAGGGCTTTAGGAGGGACCCCTAACAGGGACCCTTCGTCGCATTACCTTAAATAACCATGGTATAGTCCTTATATACCCCTTATATAGCCAGGTAGTCTCCATCTTCACCCCAATAACAGACAAAGGTCCCAATTAAGGGTCTTTCCTAAAGCCCTTGGTGCCTTCGGGTTAAGGTTCATCGGGGCGGAAGGCTCGAGGTTTCGATGAAGGCTTCCACCAAGGTTTAGGGTTTAGGGTTTAGGTTCGCACAGTATTCGTTGCCACATGGTGTCCCCAAAGGTTTCCATAAAGGGTGTCGATAAGGGGTTTCTATAATCGCCTGCTTACGTAGAGTCTCCATTGTAGTTCCTTTTTTGAGTCACTTTATAGGATCCTAAACATGGAACTGGCTAAAAACAAAAAGGGGAACTAGAATGGACACCATAGGCAGGGCTTTGGCTCGACATTGAGGGCTTCAGAGATGGGGGTTTAGGTTGTTTCGGGGTTTGGGGTGTGGGTTGGGCATTTAGGATTCGGGGTTCAGGTGGGCTTTTGGATTTCGGACTCCGGACAGGTCCTGAGTCCTGAGAGGTGTGTCTTTTAGGCTTTTTCGGGTGGTTTTCGAGCTTTGATGAGGGGGTCGATTTCTGAAAGCAGCTGTTGCTGTGCTGCGCAGATCCCGTTGCTTGCAGTAGCTCTGCCGCGAAGAGTCACGTCACGCAGCCTCACGGGTTGGCCGTGGCGGGGGGGGAGGGGGGCAGGGCGGCTCCGTAAATGGTTTTCGGCGAACCCTGGTCCAAGATCCCCAAGCCCATGATATAGATGTATACTTATAGTAGCACTAGTTGCTTTTCCAGCGCAGACTTGAGGCCATTATGAAACGTAGTTTTCTGAAGACCGTACGGTGTTAAAACCTATGTAGCCGTCTGCGAGTATATTGGCTGAATAAGGTTCTGGAAATATGAGAGGACATGCAACAACTTCGATCTTCAATGACATTAGTCTATTAGTATGCTGTTGTATGTTATCGACATGAGTTTTTGGAAACTGACTGTTGGAAGTTGAAAGTAATTTCGTATTGGAGGCTTGAAACATCTTACAACCTATGATGCTTGCTGATTATAAGTTGGGGTTGACTTTGATACGCTTTTATGATGTCAGTATGAACAGAGACATCGCTGTAGTGTGTTATTACGCTTCTGGCCAGCGTGAGACCAAACACCCAGATCCCAAATCAAATCATATCCCTAACCCCCCAGGTACCTACTATATAGGGTACTAGAGCCCCTAGGGCCCTATATAGTAGGTACCTGGGGGGTTAGGGATATGATATAGAACCATCTTGAACTCATATCTGCGTCTTGAAACTGATCAGGCCGCCAAAACAGACCAATATGAATCGGCCGTGGGCTATCCAGTTTTGCATGTTTCGGGCACAGTGGCAAATCACATCATATTGAAACCAAATATATAAGCTACGGAATGTGGTTTGTAGGGTTCAGGGGCTTATAGGATATGTTGTGCAGCTGTTGGCGCTAGGGTGTCGGGTTTTAGTGTTTGGGGTATACGGTTTCCGAGCCTAGCCTACAGCGCTTCTCCCTGAACTCAGGTGAGTGCGAGTGCGCCGACTGCACGGTGCTTTTCACTCAATGCCCTGTTGGCTTCATGCTTTTCAGGTGCGCTAGACAGGGCATTCGATTAAGTGTAGGCTTTCGGGTCATTAAGGCTTGGGATGTTGAGGGTGTAATGTAGCGGCCTAAATAGTTACCAATACTTTTTTGGGGATCCTTATGGTTAGAAGTTATAATATAATATACCCCCAAACCCTATTTTATTTCTGAAGGCCCCTATAGTAGGGCTTGGGGCTTAGTTCATTGGTCTGCGGTTCCTCGTTACGCAGATCTCGAGAAGTCTGTGACTTTAGGATTTAGGGGTTTAGGGTTTAAGGATTAGGGTTTAGGGGTTTCGGGTGCAGGGGTTTAGGATTTAGGGGTTTAGGATTTAGGGGTTTAGGGTTCAGGGGTTTAAGGTTTGAGGTTTAGGGGGTTTAGGGTTTAAGGTTTGGGGTTTTAGAGTCCAGGAGCTTTGGGTTTAAGGTTTAGGGGTTTACGGTTTAAGGTTGAGGGGGTTTAGGGTGTAAGGTTTAGGGGTTTAGGGTTTAGGGGTTTAGGGTCTAAGGTTCAGGGTTTGGAGGTTTAGGGGGGCCCATGGCAACCGAGGGGTTTGTCATGGCTCAGAAGTATTTTCATTCGAGTGTTCGACGGTTGCCCAAAAATGCTGTCCTGCTTATTCAGGCTCCGCTTATTCAGGCCCCTACATTACAGTTCACTGCCGTGAGTTTGTTGGCATTTGCGATTGACACTGGTCCCTCGACCCTAAGCCCGAAAAACTTTCGTGTGGGTACCCTTCGGACTGTTCGTCCCAGGATATCATCCCAGACCAATCCATACAGACCCGCTCAAGCTAAGCGCTCACTATCGTCAAACCTCATCCTACCGGCCAAGCCACAGACCCTACAAAATCGGTAGGTTCTGAATGACCCTTAAATATGGATACGACTACCCTTGAACTAGTCGGTAATTGGAGCCCCACGTCAAGACTTGGAGTCTAAGCCAAAGTGCGCAAACCCTGAACCCTAAACTCTAATCTGGGCCCTCGCCCGCGTTTCTAATTTCGACTTGAAATCAACAGAAAGTGAGGAAGGGAAAAACCGAAACCCAAACCTTAGCGCCGACCCGCCTGTAGGTTTCAGGGCGTAGGAAATCCTAAAGCCTGAGCCCTAAGCCCTAAACCCAGCGCTTAATGTAGGGGCCTCTATAATTACCAATGCTATTTGGGGGTTCCTTATTACAAATCTTTTGTATAAGGGCTCGAAAACCCTATTCTAAGTATTATAAGGGCGCCTTTCTTACACCCAAGAGCAATTCAGTTCAAAGAGCCATTCCGAGCGACTCTGCGGCAGGTCTCTCTCGCTCTTGTGCGCTTCGAAGGCAGCTTAGATATTCTGTACACGTGTTCAGGATTGAATGTCGGAGCCTTCTTGCTTAAGGGTGTCAAGGGGTCCCGGTAGCGGTATATGTATGTTCATATAGTAAGGTTACGTAAGGTTTATAGGTTTTTTTCACATGGCTTCGGTTGCTTTCTCGTCTGGAGGGGTTTGTTTGTTTGCGATGGCAGTTTATGGGTTTAAGGCTGTAGAGAGAGGCGGATTTCAGGGTTCAGGGTTTGGGGATGTAGAGCTTTTGGTTGCAGAGCTTTCCTGCAAGATGTTTAGCAAAAGTCAGAGCTTCGGGAGTCTGTTTGGCCGCCGAGGCAAACGCGTGACCACATCAGACGAAGGTGGTGTGAATAGTAACAAGCAGCCGCTCGCCAGGGTCATTTCCCAGTTCATCATAGCCAACAACTATATCTGTAACCTTATCCATTCCACAGGACTTATCCTAACCTGGGCAGGGCATCTCTACCGTCGTCCGCCGTGGACGACCGAACACATCTTATTGCTCGGCCTTCAACCTGCAGCTAGTTGCCAACCAAAGTTGCTGCGTCTGTCCCACCGCCTCGTGGCCATGACGCGTTTCCGAGTGGGGCAGCTTGCCGTGCGGGTCGTCTTCCGGCCTCCTCTGCGCCGCTTCTCAACAGACTTGCAGCAACGTGAGGCAGCCGTGAAGCCCAAGAAGGACAGCAGCAACTCCCAGCGCTCTCTTAAGGACGAGGCTAGCACCCTAGTGATCAACGAGGGCTTGTCCAACATGAATTCCATTGATGAGGGGAAGCACACAAGTCGTGAGATCGGCTCTGCGGAAGCATCCAAAAGCATCGGCCTTGGTGCAGATTCATCGGGAACCTTATGCGAAAAGCCTCAGCTGTTCATGCCCAAGTGTCTGATGCCAAAGGGAACTCTGTGTCCGTCGGCGCTGAGGTTTCCGAGTGTGCTGAGATGCACCTCAGGACTGGAAGAGCCAGGCAGACAACGGAACACAGTGTTCATGGAGAGTTGAAGCAAGAAGATGGCGCCGGGAATGCTCAGTCGATTTGCGCAGAACTCAAACAGAAAAGCAGTGCTGGAAACGGAGGTCCCGATGAGTTTTGCACCAAACTCGAGGTGTCGGGCAAGGGCAAAGCGGGCATCAGCCTGAAGGAGGTCACCGAATCGAGCCTCCAGAAGAATGGCAGGCACACCCATGTGGAGGTCAAGCAGAGCGTGGATGTTGAGACGCATGTGACAGCTGAAGCATCAGTGGATGTGCAGGCCGCCAGCGGCGACGGAGTGAGGGTGGCATACGAAGTTCCTTTGATCCAGGGAAAGGCCCGACTGCTCGAGCAAGGCGCCACCATTGATTCGAACAAGGGCATGCTCTCTCAGGAGACACGCAAGGAGATCACTGCAGCAACTCAGGGCTCCGCTGAAAAGTTGAACGACGCGGCCGAAGCCAAGATGGCTGAAGCTGCCGACAACGTCGTACCGCCAGGTGTTGCTGGTGCAACAGCAGCCGCATGGCGAGGCGACCACAACGCTGCGAAGAAGGCGATGGTTGCCGGTGGTGCTTCGGCTGCGGCTAAAGGTCTTGCGGCCGTTGCGCTGACGTCGACTACCACAGCCTCTGTCCCTGCAGCTGGGCTTGCAGGGTCATTGGGTTTCACTACATTAACAGTCGTCACTACTGGTCCAGGCGTGCTTGTGCTTGGTGCAGTCGGGTGGGCAGCTGGTGCTGCGGCAAAGCGGTTTTATGACCATTTTTGATGAGGGTTTTAGTCTAATTAGGGCGCATGTCTCCGAAATTGATTCTCCAGCTGCCCACAGTCAGCTCTCACCTGCAGTCAGTGAACTGCAACTTGACAGTTTGCAGCGAAATCTAGCCAACGCAGGGTGTAGAAGATCAAGATGCTGGCCCAAAGCAAGACCTCGAAAGTCCGCAGTACTCATATGCCGGCGGACGCCCTTAATCGACAGCAATAAAGACGGTTTTGCTGCAGAGGTGTGTCGAAGAGTGTGTTGACGCAGCTTTTTTTCCAAGGATTGTGCAGCTACGGCAGGGTTTTGCGGAAAAGGCTCGAAAGTTTAGGGCTTTAAGGTGTGGCCTGAAAGGTTCCTGGACTTAGGAGCTTGGGGTTCGCCCAGACTTGGATCTCAAGAACCTCAGATGCAGGCGACTTGAGGGAGGACTCTTGGGGGGTTTTAAGCCGTATGGTGCAGTTTCGAATTTAGGAAGTTTGATGTTTAGGGTCATGTTTGGGGTTGGTTCAGGTTCCGAGGTTGGGTTGAGGGGGATTTTGGGTTAGGTTGAGAGGTCCAGTCTAGGGTGTCGCGTTTCCTTTCATGGTTTACTGTTGCGTATTTCGGGTTTCCAATTATAAGACCTCTGGTTAATGAGCCCTCTTCCCGTGATAGGTAATACAGTACATACTCCGGCTAGCGCTCGGGTTGAGGTGTTAGGCAGCGTGTGGGCTTTGTGGCGTCAAGGTTTCCCTACAGCAACCCTTAAAGCCTAGATTTTCAGCCGGCTGTACCAGCACACTTGTAGTGGAGCAGGTAAGCTTGAGCCTCTTTTTGGAGTGTTATATTCCCAAAGGTTAACCTTGAATTTCCATGTGATACTTGCATGGTGCCGGGAGCCCAGCCGCTTTTCTACTGTATCCCTTGGCCGCTAACCGCATGAAATTCGACGCGGGGGTTCTTTGGCGCACGGTTTTAGTTCAGCGAGCGACCGCCGGGCTTGTGGCTGCCTCGTACTCCCGCGCCTCAAGACTTTGGACAGGACAACAAAAATCAGCGCTGGCACGAGTTGGTCTTGGCCTCGGCAAGTGTGAAGGTAAGTTTGGGATTGCATTCGTTGCCCTAGTGCCCTCCGCAGGCCGTTAGGTCCACGGCCCGACATTTCTATTTTCGATGCCTGAACTAATATATCGACTAGGGTGTTGCGGTTTCGTTGCAAGCCCTATAACGTTGGGAAAACAACAGCTGCTATTACTATTTACTCAGGTGGCTTCTTAACTAGAGTAGGGATGTTGAGACCGTATTATGGAACTCCTTTGAGGTGCAAAGTATTCGACATGTGAAGGCTTGTCACTTGGGATTTTGATCTGCTGTGTGCACTGAATTGGACTTTTCTGGCAAAGACAGTGAAGCGATTCTGTGGGGTCGCAACAGGGCCCCAAAGGCCACGTATGATGGTTGCCCGGGGTCGTTGTCCAGAGATTTCCAAACCCGTTCAGTCGTACATCGCAGTTAGTTGCATCAATCACGGGTAGATTCTTTTGAAGATGGGTTTCTGGGCACAGCCAGACCCGCATTGTTTTCTGTGTAGTTCCAAAAACAAGCTCTTCGTAGTTGGTTGAGAGTCTTAGTCGTCCGAACTTTAAACCACAAACCCATAGCCGTAGCCATATCCATGGTGCCCTAGTTTGCAGTAGGACTAAGCCATAAACTCTAACCCCTGAACCCTCAACCCTCTGAGCCATAAGCCTTGTAAGCATGAGCCAGGATGAAGTTCACCTGAACCCGGTGGAAAACATAGGGAGACCCCAACCTGTTCAAGTTCATTGACTATCGGGTTTTAGGGTTGAGGGTTTTGCGGTCAACGGAGCGACTCCGACAGCATGGACCAGTAGTCCCTGGGATGTGGGCCTCCTCGGAGGTGGCCATCAGGCTTTACACACGCCGAGCAACCCATGATGGCACCCGGCTCCTAAGGGCCCGCAGCGAGGTCTTGTCAACGAGGGGTCATTGCCAGGCTCAGTCCGCTACATCCACAGCGTCCAATTGGTGGCCCGTGAAACGGCGACTCTCTAAACACCTCCGGGATGGGTTTCGGATATAGGGGGTTGGCGGGGTCCGCTGTAGATGCCGTTCAGCATTGGGCCCGCGACAGTCCATGTAAAAGTCTCACAAGAGTTCATATTAGAAGCCCTCGCGAAACCCTGAACCCTTAAAACCTCCACAACTAACGACCTAGAGACAGCCTGCAACAAGATCTCATGCAACCCTGAACCCCTGAACCCCTCTCCACTAATGCCCCAGACAACTCTCAAACTAGTTGGGGAGAAGCCGGTAGTGCAGGGTGCGGAAGAAATCGCCTTTTGGATTTGAGCACAAAAAGCCTAGACCCTAAGCCCAAAACCCCGATAGCAGGTCCGGAAGCGCTGGGGCCGCGGACTGCTGGACTTGGCTCCTCGTTGCAGTTATGAGGTCAAGGGATTTTCGGGTTTGGGGTTGGAGGAACGAATTACATTTTAGGATTCAGGGCTCAATTAGGGGTTGTATTATTTTCTGTGGGGTTCAGAAGCTTGCAACTGGCCCAGCTTGGGTCGCGATAACGATCTGCAAGTACCTGCTTACTTGAAGAAGCCCTACATAAAGCCTGGAAGCATCAAGGCTGTTGCGCGTTTCCGAATCCCCACACACCGATGCTCAAGCCGGCGAAATCATTCACCTTAAATGTTGACAACCCCATGGCACCCACGGGATTTCTGGATCTCAAATGCAGCCAGGTACACCTGGTAGGTCCAGGGTTTAAAGTTGAGGATTAATAGAAACGGGTCCGGTTTGAGGATTTACAGCTGAGCTTAGCCTTGTAGGTGATGTGGTCTAGTCTAATGGGCGGTTACAGGGTCAAGCTTCGGGCATGAAAGAGGAGCGAGCAGTTGGCCCACAGATTTCAGTATGTCTTTGCAAGAAGCTTATAGCAGGGTTCGAAGCGGCTTCTGCTCAGTCTTACAGAGTGTACTTGTAGAGGTGTTGAGGTTTCTCTGACACGTCTGATGATTACGGATCCACGTCCCAAACTAGCAACGAATGACTACCACTTCGACAACACATGTTTCTACGCTGCAACCCCGAGTTATTACCGGGAACACCGTTTTTTCCACTTTCGGCCGATATGTAAAGAAACTCCTTGAAATCGTCTTAAACCCGAAACGGAAAAGCCCTAGGCTGGTACAGATGCCCTAATTAAGCATTTCTGTCTTGGGGTACAGCCCTATACTACGTCCTACCCAGTAAGTTTTTGTCCCTTCCGCGAGTTTGGTGCGAGAGTGCTACTGTTTTGGGGACCAGCAAGGCCGGACCCTAAACCGTTACCCTAAACTACCATAACCTGCTTTTATGTAGGTTCTTGTTATGAAACCTCATATAGAATTTATAGGGACCCCTACAAAAAAGTAGGTTTTGGTAGCTCAAGGTGGTCTTAAACCCATTCAACCCCCTTCCCCTAGACATTTTCCCTGCGGAAGATAGCTAAGGCACGATTGCGTCTCGGTTTCGCGGCCTGGAGCCCAAGATTCAAGAGCATGAGGGTAGGGTTTAGGGTTTAGGGTTTAGGGTTTGCTTCCCAAACTTAGGGGTCGCGCAGGTCCTTATATCACTGATCCTCTGGTGATTCTGGGTCTGGATTAGGGTCTGTGCTTTCTGATAGTTCCATTACAGAGCTTGAGGCTTTTTCAGGGGTCTTTGAGTTTCTCGTGCTGGACTGGAGAGAGAGTTCCAGGGTTCAGGAAATTGAGATTAATGCCATAAATGAATCGGAAGCTTGGGTGCGAGGAAGGCCAGCAACTTTATTTAATCATTCACTTGTGTTTCTGTTCATAGATCTTGTTTCCCCATCGGGCCTCAAACGCCATGGGTTGTAGCTGAAGGCTTTTTCCTTGGTAGCTTCGGAGCCAACTTCATTCGGGCGACCCAAGATCCATGATATATGAGGGCGCCCTACTAAGAGTATGAGTCTAGCACAGTGTACCTCGAAGCCTTATGCTAGTCAGCAAGGGCCCCTAGATTAGTGCGCAGAAGTTGGGTTTGGGCTTTGTGGTGGTCGCTGATTCCAGAACCCATGGCTTCCTCCTAGTCGTTACGCCTATCCTCAAAATGAGCCTCGGCCTCCGTGGGGAAAGGGTTTAGTTCAGGCTGTTCACTAGGGATTAAGGGGTTAAGGTTTGGGTTCAGCATGTTTTTTGGGGCTTGGAAAACATCTTCGGGTTTGGGGTATATAACCTAGTAAAGTCCTTCAAGCCTCTCAGGACATCATCGCATCCGGCTGGTCCACTTCTCAGCACTTCGAGAGCGCATCAACTCCTAACGCCCTAAACTCTGGGCCTCAAAACCTTAGGGTTTAGGGTTTAGGGTCTTTCTCTAGATTGGGGCCATTCTGCGGTTTGCTTGGGGCCAGCAATCTAAAGAACTACAGAGTTGTGTTTTTTTGTGCTGCTGCTTGCATGGAGCCTGTGTTTATCGTAGACTGAGCTTCCGAACCCTCGAAAACCCTTAGAAGGCCTTCAAATCCTCAATCCTACCCCTGAAAAACATAATTCCCTACACCCAGAATTCCAAGCCCAACAAGACCTGAGCCGGATCGGATCTTCGACATAATTCGCAGAGCCCGACTGAGTTTCTACAGAGTTGCGGACCCGGATCGGTAGCCACTCAAAGTACTGTAACTATCCCCGGGACGGTTTAATATTTAGGGCTCATTTATGTGGGAGATACTCAAAGCAGCCATCCCCAAAAATAAAAAAGGCTTAGGGCTTATACGGTCCAGGGACCAGGGTGTAGGGTTTCGGAGATATCTCCTTCAGAGTCTAGGACATTTTCAGGTGGGTAGTTACCGTTTAGGAGCCTTATAGAAGGTCTATAGACCTTCTAGAAGCCTTATAGAAGCCCTATATACCCCCCTAAACCCTAAACCCTAAACCCTAAACCCTAAACTCCCCACCTGTAGTTCCCTT